TCCATCCCTGGCTTGATGTGCTGCAGAGCCCAACCATGAAGACCAGGTGTCCAGCCTTGGACCTTATGGAATACTTCTTCATTAAGGATGGTCCTTCCCTTTTCCTGCATGTTGTCCTCCTTGTCTCAGCTTAGTTAACCAATTCCCATAGGTATTTGGATTCCTTCAGAAGATCCACATCTGTTTAGTAAAGTATAAAAAAACAACATACTCTGTCCAGTGAGAACCAGCGCAGCACAGAGAGACGCAATTAGTCGCACTGTTCCTGCTTTATTAGTCTGCTGAGGCCTGTTTAGGTAGATTGGTCGTCGAACGGATAAAGCTGAGCCCGCATAACAATTCCCGACTGTCCATACTAGTAAGAAAATAGCGCGGAGACCATGCCATGGCAAATTAAATAGGAAATCAATTCAATCCAGAGCAGTTAAACGCTGCAAATTCCAGTGACGTGACAGAGAGAGGGACGCATCTCATTAGAGCTACAATACTCAGAACCTCAGACCAGGCAATTGGAGACACGGCCGAAAGGAGAAGACACCAGCTCGTTATCTGTTCCAGGCGCATTTGATTAATTGCCTGCAAATGATATGGCGTCGAAGGAGGAGCCGCTGTGGAGATGCTGTTTGTGAGGAAATTACGTTACAGTACCATGATTTGAACTATTTTTCCATATATTTTGAATTTAGTAGTGCAGCTTTCCGAGACAGTTAGACATTTTTAATGGTGAGAATATTTTAAGGGTGTAATTTACTGTCTCCTAATGAACATGTAAGTCTTTTCCCTCCAGGGTTCCCTAATAATAATAGTTGCCTTCCTTATTTTGCTGCTGCAGCTGGCTGTGTTTATGTGACACCATGTAAGTCCATCATTATCACTCCTAGTCTGACTGTTCTGCAAATTCCTAGTCTGACTATCACTCTCAGTCACTCTTATCTGACTGTTATTTTTTTGTGTTTTTGTAATTACCCTTCTTTGCGTTGAAGGCCGTACAAAATGATATGAGAAATAATTCTTGTTGCATGGGGGAAATGGATTTGCTGTAGCTGAAATTCAGGATGTTCTCTCGCACTACAAATAATCTGGGTCTTATGTTTAAAAGTAGCCTTGTTTAAGAGATGAAAGACCCCATGGATTCCAGAGGAGGAAAACTGGAGGGTGAGGATGACTGGCTTCAATTAGCCATCCCATGAAAGCTTACAGCCATACTGCTTTGGATGTGCTTGCTCTCATTTAATCTCAGAAGCTAAATGGAGTTCGCCCAATTAGTATTTGGGAGCGGTATGTCGCTCAGCAAGTTAAGAGGAGGGTCAGATCTCACAGTCGGTAGAGTGATGTCACCAATGGGCCCTTGAGTGAGGCCTTTAACCTCATTTGCTCCAGACACTGTCTGACTCTGCTCTCTCAATTGGATTTCAGCCCAAAAGAGGGGGTGTTTCAGTCTCACTCAGCTCCTAGTTGCCATGAATGGTTCAGAAAACGATTGTACTCAGCCTGTGTGGTTACTTTGACTGTGTCAGGGTCAGTTCCCTCGCCTTGTTCTCTCTTGATTGTCCCCATTCATGTGGGCAGTGGCGGATTAATGGTCAGGGAAGTGTGCTTGTAATTGAAAGATTGCAGGTTTGAATCTCCAATCAGCAAGGCACCCCTGAGGTACCCTGAGCAAGGTACCACCCCCGAGCCCTGCTCCCCGGGCGCTGAATTAGCTGCCCCCTGCTATGACACATATGGGTTGAATCCAGAGAACTCATTTTGTTGTTGTGGTGTGTCAGCAATGACAACTGATCACTAAACTAAATTCTTTTGGCCAACAGGTGTCACTAGTCGTCTTGTTCCCTTCTCTGTCTTGTATCCCCTTAGTTCCTAGTGTGTTTGCCTACTCCCCAGGCTGCTGTGAGGCCGAATGGGCTTAGTCGGCCACCATTCCTGACTTCCCTTTTTGATTGTGAGTTTGAGGCCAGAGGCCAGACTCATCCAGTTGTTATTTAATGTTTCTTGGTTTTGTGTTCTCTTGGTTTAACATGTGTTCACATGTTTAAGCATTTCAGTTAATTCCTTTTTTTGCTCCCTGTTCCTTGTCTGTTCAGTTTTCCTTGTTTTAGTTTCCCCTAGTGTTTGTACCTTTTCAGTTATCTGTTTATTGAGCTCACCTGCTCCTCCGACACTCATTGTGGTTGTTTGCCCTGTTTTGCGATGTTCAGTTGTTACCTTGCAGTTGTTACTGTGTGTATGTTACTGTGTTATTTGTGTTTTATCCTTGCTTGGTTCCCACATGTCTTCCTAGTTTTAGTGCTTCCCCTGTGATCAGAATCTTGGCCAATAAACCTGATTATGGTTAGTTTCCCTTGTGATTAGTTTTAGTTGTTTTGACCCCTCATGATTCCTTTACTTTCTGGTTCTCCATTTGTGATCTATTTGTTAATTCTTTTTCCCTTTTGTTGAGAGTTGCTATATGGATCCTCCCTCCTTCATGATGCCCTGCTGTAACAGGCTGAGGAAATTCTCAGTCTATTCCCACAATCAAGCATCACCCTTTAAGATTTAAGAACCTTGAACTTTGAAGGGATGAGGAGCACCAGAACTGCTTATTTTCATCCCGGGGCATCTTGGAACTTCTCTGAAACAAATAGGTCAGCCTCTGTGGTGCTTCCCAGAGGATGTCGGTCGGGAAGGATAGAGAGTATGCAGTTCTCTTTCATAACTACATAACCAGGAATGAATTTCACCATTGCTACACATAAAAAATAAACAGCAGAAAAGATTTAAGACCCAATTAAGTTTTAATCATGCCTGTGTGGAGAATGTTCTCCAGGCCATTAGCAAGATGAGTCAAAGCATTGAGAACATAACATCTACATCCAGGATTTGCTTTAGCTGTTTATGTAATGCCCCCTTTGGCATGTGTTCAGGGATAGCTCATCTCCTACAAGCAGCCCAAGGAAAGTTTTTGGAATTGAAGATTGCTATAAATATAAGACTAAGATGGGTTTATACGACAAGTGGGATTAGCAACCAAACACAGAGGTGGATGCTGGTGTCTAGGTGATGGTAATGCCAGTAATCCACTTGAGGAGTGTGGAATAGAGTCTGTAAGCAGATGTGTTTGGGCTAAACAATCGGTAATTTCACACAGGCATTTCAGGTGCAATCAGTTTAGGGCCTCCAGTCCAGTGCCCCCTATAGCAGTGTTTCTCAATGGTTTTTGTTAAAATTAGCAAATAGGTGGAATGTCTGGCAAGGAGGAAGCAAATACATGGACCAATTGTGGGTCCCCGAGGACGGGATAGGAAACACTGCACTATATCACTATAGTGATTCACACTGAATATGTATGTTGGTGTGTAGACGAACGGAAACCGAAGGCCATACCTGTGACTTCTAAAGACACAGACAAGTGTGACCCTGCCTGTCTACATAAGCATGAAACCTGCAAGTGGCCTGAAAAATAAACTGGGCGAAACTTGTCAGGACTTCAGTTTGACCTGTGAAATTAAAATCCCAGTTGGGCAAAGCAGAGTTCTTTAAATACAACATGGTATTGATTTTGCAAGACCAAGGACACACCGTTGTCTTTCGAGGGTTCTGGAATTTGAAGCAACATCCCCTATATGGTAACAGTTCAACAATTTAACAGAACAGCAAACTGGAATCCAGCAAATTCATATCGCACACGGTGGACAATAGTCATCCTTTGACTGACAGACGTTTTCTCCTGCTTGAAAAGGTGACACATAACCGCATTAGAAGGTTGTTTTCTTGGCAGTGATGAACCACAGTTATCGGACCCTGGAGAAGTAGAACAAACCTGTGTGGGCACTGATTCGCCCCCTCGTGTCTCGTTGTGATGTTTCATTGAATCACACCTCACACACCTGCCCTGCCTGTCCGAATGATGAATGCAGATATTCCTCAGTTAGGGGGTTAGGGTCAGGTCCCCACATTGCTCCTTACTGGTAACCAAAATTAACCAAGGGGAGTCTAAATTAAATATGTGACTCAGTACTGGATTCCCAGTATAGAAACTAGTTTCAACAGGTGTAAATTAATGCTTATAATCTTATTGTGCTATAAAACTATAACATGTCACTTCAGAGCTATGGTAACCTTTTCTGCAATAATCACACGGTATAATGATGTGTCATATAGCATTTCTCTGCCTGTCTTGGATATAAAACACCAAGCAATCTTTAATGACGAAATAGCTTTCCACTACGGTGCCAGTTGACTGGGTAGTTCTCAAATAAGGTTAAATAGCATCGCTGAGACTTAAATCAACATCTCTAAGGATAAGGCAGTGTGGTGGCCCAGTGATAGTACTGTCTCCTCATATGTCCAGGGTTGTGGGTTTGTGTGACTTCATGCTTTTTTGTTGCTTATTTCTGGTACATTGGTCTTGTAAATAAACTTAGAGAACAATTGGCAAATCCGCTGGGTGCTCTGCATGCATGACGCTAGACACTTGCGTTTGTGGATCACGATAACTTTTCAGATGCTTGCCTAATGCCACAGCTCCCTGGTCTTCTGTTCTTCTGATTGTCTAGGGTGCATCCAGGAGCCCTCACATGCAACCTTAATCAGTGCTCTCCGGTTGCTGATTGGCTGGCTTTCTCACAGGATCAGCTGTCAGTTACACAGTCATTTTCATGTCTCTGACCCCCAGGTTCACAGGTTACCTGTGTTTATGCACGACTAGCATCCCAGCCAGTTCATACTCAGCCTTATATGTGTCTTTGTCTCATCTGGCTCAGGGTCACCATGAGTCCTGACTTACAAGAACTCACTAAGAAATTGTGGTGAACAAAACTGAAGACGTCTTTTAAGCAGTCTTACCCCTGTTTCCATTTGTTTGTTCATTTTGTGGATTCCTTGTGTGTTTGGATTAAGAAAATACAAAACAAAACAAAATTTGGGCACATTGATTTTGAGACCATCCAGATTTCTTTTGTTTATTTCGTTACTCGAAAACAAACAAATCCTAAGGAAATAAGGCCCAAACGCCTCTCCTTCCTGTCTGGCACCAGAAGATCCCACCCCAACCCGCCGACCACCCATGTTTCCTGGAGCCTAAACATGCCTATTTAGGGTACAGATCACCATGCTGCAGGACACCAGCTGCATTAATGCCACCACTGATCCTTCACAATATGTTTAAAGGACAACAAAAACAATGGAAAAGACCCAATTTCTCATCACTGACATGCGGGACATGCATGTCCATGCATCCACCCGCTTTATCTGACTGGGAGATGCAAATGGCTCTAATACATACAACTAATAATTCTCCAGTGGTCCAAAATGCTTTACAATGTAAGAATATTACGAAATGTAAGAAATTTCAACAAACCCGTATAAAAACGCGGAGACCTTGCAGGTCAGCATGCTCATACTGTACGGAAAACTATCTGTTTACTGCAGTTCGTTACATTAATTGTTCAATTGCTTGTTTTCTCCATACAAACTGTCTCTAAGGATACAAACAGTCTTTCACAATACAATTGGTAAGAGATGCAAGCTTCAGTGACCGTACATGCAAAAAGGACGTTAAGAAGAGCTGAAACATGCCGTTTCTTTGAGGGCGATGCTGAGCCATTGTGCTCCTGGCCTAAGGGCCAAACGTCCTGGAAGACTCATACTCAGACATGCACTTGGGCTTGATCCCCTTGCTGTTGTAGTAGTCAACCACCTGGTTCGGGACCTCTGCCAGGACGGTTTTCGCCAAGGCCGCAGGCGAGGCCTGTGGAAAGGAGACATTTAGGTGATGGCAGCAAAACCCACAGGTGCAGCAGCGGGAATTGAGCTTGTATCTCAAAGCCCACAGGTGCAGCAGTAGGAAATGAGCCTGTATCTCAAAGCCCACAGGTGCAGCAGTAGGAAATGAGCCTGTAGCCCAAAGGCTGCAGGTGCAACAGCAGGAAATGAGCCTGTAGCCCAAAGCCCACAGGTGCAGCAGTAGGAAATGAGCCTGTAGCCCAAAGGCTGCAGGCACAACAGTAGGAAATGAGCCTGTAGCCCAAAGCCCACAGGTGCTGCAGTAGGAAATGAGCCTGTATCTCAAAGCCCACAGGTGCAGCAGTAGGAAATGAGCCTGTAGCCCAAAGCCCACAGGTGCAGCAGTAGCAAATGAACCTGTAGCCCAAAGGCTACAGGAACAACAGCAGGAAATGAGCCTGTAGCCCAAAGCCCACAGGTACAGCAACAGGAAATGAGCCTGCAGCCCAAAGTCAATCTCATTCCTTAGCTGGTACACAATGTACTGAGTGCTCTACAACTGCCTTAGCGTAATGAGGAGCCACTTCCACCACCACCGTGTAGCCCCCACCTTTATGATGGCAGCCATTCTGCGCCAGTAAGCAGAAGCTAATGTGGTGAGGGGGCAGGAAGGTGCCACCCCTCTCTTTCGAAGGATGCCCAGAGATCGACCTCGCAGAGTCAGGGCCTTGGTTTTACATCTTATCTGAAGGATAGCTCCATTTTTACAGCACAGTGTCACAGTCACTGCACTGGAGCTTTGGGACTCATACACACCACAGGATGGGCTATCCTGTCACTGCACTGGGGCATTGATATCCACACAGACCACAGGATGGGCTATCCTGTCACTGCACTGGGGCATTGGTATCCACACAGACCACAGGATGGGCTATCCTGTCACTGCACTGGGGTGGAGACCACAGGATGGGCTATCCTGTTAATCACACTAACACCTCCTCCAGCAGCAACCCAGCTTTCCAAGTTGGTCTCCCATACAAGTATTAGCCAGTCCCAAACCTGCTTGGCTTCAGATGGATTTTATGTCTCATGGAAAGCAGGAAAACTACCCAATTTCGTGTGGGGATTAATAAAGTATCACAATTCTATAAATGGACAAGGTGTGAAAAACATAAGATACTAATTATGGTTGTTTGATAAAATCATTGATTGTTTTTTCTAAAAAATGCAAGTTACACAAAGTGTGGACAACAGAGCAGTCAAGCAAAGGCAGAAAGACTCATTGACTAATAGGCAACAGTGGGCATGATTCTGCTAATCTGCTAACTGGTAATTAGTGAAGCTAACTTTATTGTCAGCAGACCAGTTAGCTTCCGCTAAATTTAGTTCCACTAACTGTAAATCCACTTGCATTTTTTTCGCAGGTAAAGTGAATTAAGTTTTATAGTGAAAAAATTGATACATATTTGTTCCTGTATGTTTTGAATGTGTCTGCCACAGTCTATCTGGCACTCTGTTGACTGACAGCTTGTCAACACAAGATGTGATTGGTCAATAACTTGTCAAATTTAAGGTAGTCTGACTGAAGTGAATGAAGATAAAGTCCATTTAAACTGGGGGAACCCTAGACTAAGCAGAGAACAGGGGCCTGTATGAAGAAGTTGGATGTCTTGCTTAGCCGGATAACTTGTCGGATTGAAGCTGCCATAGTTTATGGTTATGCATCTGTCCCAAATCCTTTAGCTCCACAGGTGTGAATTTAAAGTTCTCAGACCATAGATACAGCTCTTCCGCACTTGAGCTCGTATTCATTAATGAACCCATTGTGCTCCCAGCACAACATCTGAATCCTCCATTCCAAAGCTGCACCCTACTGGTAGTAAAGGGGCAAAAAGTAAGGAGTTAAGATAAAACTTTACAGGTGTATCCAGGGAGTTAAGGTAAAACTTTACAGGTGTATCCAGGGAGTTAAGGTAAAACTTTACAGGTGTATCCAGGGAGGGAAATCTTGATTCTGTACTCTTCTGATTTACTCCATTGGCTAAACTAAATTATTCAGATATAGATTTGTGGAAATATCTCAGAAACAGCTGTTAGGTAAACAACCAAATATTATTGTTTCTTCATACATAAAGAGAAGGCACAGGCATCAGTGAACACTACAACCCCCCTTGTTCTCACTAAGATGTATCTGGGGCATATAACCTCATCTCGCTGAGGACTCCACATTCCTATGTTTTCTTAAAACACTGACCTGTTTTGTCACTGAAGTCCTACGGCATGATAACGTAATGTTTTACTTGTATTTTGCATTGCAAAATACTCTAAGGTATAGCTTGTGTTATGCACATACCTCTGACGGACATTTTATGTTAGATAAATGGCTCCAGAATCTTTAGACAATGATACTGTATTTTACGTGAAGCACCTTCATTTTATATGCTTGGAAATGACCTATCTGAGAGTCATAAGGTTTGGACAACAGGTAGATCTGCACCCTGAGGACATTCAGGCTAACATAGATAGAGTCAGACCACATGATTACCTCTGAAATATCCCCTTCCTTGTTGATGTTAGGCCCCAGGTTCAGAAGGGCCCAGAGAAGCCAGCACTGCCTTTGGGAGAGCGCTCACTATCTGGATAAATCAGGTCCAGTCCTGGGTGTTTCAGGAATATTGATTGTGGGGAGGAGGAATGGCCACCTAGTCAGAACAGCAATGTTTCAAAATATTTTACAAAGGACAGCATGGGCGTAATTATGGTTACGGTCCACGTGGCTGCAGTGTGTCGCCGTGGTTATTGACAATATTTCTTCAGGGTGTCTCCATGGTTGAGAACAGTGAGACTGCAGGGTTTTCCTGGGTTTGGGCTCCAATTCAGCCTTGGGACTCCAGTGTGGATCAGGTCCAGTCACATGTGTGTCTGTATATGTGGGACAGTCATAAAGGCTGATGTGTAGGAACCTCACAGGATTGTCATCAGCCTTCTCTCTCTCTCTCTCTCTCTCTCTCTCTCTCTCATTTCTTCCTCTCCCTCTTGATCATCACTGTCTTTTCTATTCCATTCCTCCTTTTCAATGTAACCTCTTGTCTTCTGTGCCCATCTACTGCCTGCCTTGACGTCTCATTCGATTTTGCTTCCATGTCCCCTCTTCAGGAATAATTTCTCCTCCATCTCTTCTCCTCTCTCTCCATTTCTCTCTCTCCAAAGATGAGGTTCTGCGAGCTCATTAGCACTTAATGTCTCTCTGACTGAAGAATCCCCCAAACTCTACTTCACAGGACACACAGAAAGTGTTATCATTGCATCTACAGGCTCATCTTCACCACCGCTGGATGCTAATTGTCTATCTGTTCCTTCCTCTGTGCCAGTCTGGTTTCATCTGTTGTCTGTCATTTTTGTGAGCTACCAACCCCCCCCAATTTTTCCATTTCCATATCCGCGAAACGCATATTCAACAAATTCAATCAGCTGCGGCTCTCCTGTGAGAGTTTTTTTCATTAAGGCAAAACAGCCTCTCGTCTCATTTGAAGAAGGATGGAAGACTGTGTCTGAAATTCTGCATTTTATGCTGAAAAGTGACTGCAGAACACTTTGTCTTGTCTCCTTTCATCTATGTGGGAAATGAACGGGGCGCAGTCGCTTCCCAAATGTTAAACTAACTACCGTGTCCACTGCGCGTACGAGAGCCTATGGGGGGGCTGGCACCCTCTTCTGATAATCATTTAAAGGGAATGTGCTTTTTAAAACCCCACGCAGCTTCTGTCCATTCAGAAAGTCATCATTGTCCTCTTCAACTGGTAAGAAATTAGGACGCGGTTTGCATGCATCAGTAAGTCTCATAATTAAAATATAAAACAGACAGTTGTACGACTCCAGCAGGACAATAGCTTCCTGCATTAGTTTATGCCGACACACCTGAATGAGGCGGCGGCCCCTGGCCTCCAACCGCCTTTTACCTCAGAGGAGGGTGGGATTGCTGGAGTGTGACCATCAAGGCTTGGTGAGCTGCCAAACTGCGTGTCAGGGTATGTGTGAGCATGGTCCTGCATTGCCTTGCGTGTGTGGATGCGTGTGTGTGTGTGTGTGCATGCAGAGTGCTTCAGTGATGGAAAATGCGTCTTACGTGTGCCATCTCCATCCACACTGCCTCATTATTTCCAGTCCTGCGCTCCCTGTTGTCCCCGTGGCCTTTTGGCACCAAATTCCCTCCCGTAATCATGTTTCGAAAACAGATTCAGAATCCTTCAGGTTAAGGAAAGAAGCATTTAACAGAGCATGGACACTGCAGGACGGTGGGTCAAGTCCTGGGGGAAATAATATCCTCAGGAATCTCAGAAATCCCTCAAAGGGAACAAATATCACTGCATTACAAAACACACCACAGCGAAGACATTTTTACATGAGCAGAATCCTGCTGTAAAAGTTCATGCAGCTGACTGAGTACATAGTATCCGAAAGTCCTGGAAAGTACTGATCTGAAGCTTCATATGCACAGTTACAAGTCAATCAGACTGTCCGTTACCAGATTCATCGTATGGTGAAATGCGGAGGTAACAGAAGACCCTAAGAGGCCCAAGACACGGCGGCGAAGAGACACCCACGTGCTTGAGGTTGCGGAAGGGCACGAACTGCACGATGTCCCTGAGCACGGGCTCCCCCTTGGGCGAGCGCAGGATGCCGTCGTCGCCATCCAGCATCTGCATGTCGCTGAAGTCGGCGTTGCCCACGCCCACGATGATGACCGACATGGGCAGGTGGGAGGCATGCACGATGGCCTCCCGTGTGTCCGCCATGTCAGTGATGACGCCGTCCGTCAGGATCAGCAGGATGAAGTATTGCTGCCAGGGGAGGAGGAGGAGGAGGTGCAGAGTGAGATTGGAAGAGATGGGCAAGCGATGAAGGGAGGAGGATAAGTGGGCGGCCCAAGGGCCAGGAAGGTGCAGGAAGCCGCCTGGACTTTAGTGGCGTTTATCTATAGATATATACATTGACTCTCTCTCGGGCCTCCCAACAACATACAAACCAGTTAACCTAAAACCAGTCAATCCCATTCAGACAAACCCCCACACCAACCAATCACAGTCAAACACTTTCCCATTCCAACACAACTGAAAAGCCCAGTCACGTTCAAACAAATCCCTAATCCCACATCTGACTATACACATGATATTGAATCGATACGGAGACCATCTTGACTCCAAAAGTTTCTTCTCACTGCTTGTGTAGGGCATGAGTAATATGTATAGTTATCGTAAGTAATGAGGAATGAATTCATGTAAACTCTGATGCCTACACAGTACCATTAGTATTGTCTTCCAATACACAGTGATTTGTATAACTAAATTATAAACAGAAAAAACAAATATTATCCATGAACACAGGACCCAACTGACCCTCTATCTTACCAGCTAACCCGACACCCAGTCCCTGGGCAGGTGGATCTCTCTCATCACAAAGTGAAAAAGAAACACAGATCAGGTGAAACTGACTGTCACAATCTGTCCCCATCAATCTTGTCATGTTGTGTCCCCACAGAGACAGGCTCCCAGCAACCCTGCCCGGGGCTTAGAAGATGAATGGATGATGAACCACATTAAGGTTATTATGAGCTAATTCCTTTACTTCTGTGGCTTATTGGTCACTCTAAATTAGCTTTAGGCAGCTCTGAGTACATGTCATGCCAATTCATCACTGTGATAACGAAGGAGAACGAGAGACAGACCTTCATTGTGTCAGCCTCACTGGGATAATGTCATCAATAATGATGAGGAAGAAGTTACCACATGTCCGTTCCCACAGGGCAACTTCCTCTACTCACCTTCAGCAAACACATGTTCAGGCAAGGCTCAGACTTGGGTTCCGCAATACGGGTCAATGTGAGCAGCACTGACATGGGGGAGGGTGTAGCTAAGGGGAGGGATAGCTCTCTCACCATGGCCTCCTTGGTGTGCATCTCCTGAGAGGCAGAGCAGGCCACCTTCTGTATGATGGGGGCGATGTTAGTGGGGCCATAGAGCTGGATCTTGGGAAGGCAGCTCTGGTATGCCTCGACGACACCCTGGATTCCTGCACGTGATGGAATGGGAGCGTTCTGTCAACACATCACAATCTGCAAGACTAAGTGCTTCGTATGATCACTGTTCCAGGTACAGTTTAATAACCGTGCTCATGTTTCTACACATGTGCAATCAGACAAAGCAAACTCTATTATTCTAATGGGAATTTAAAGGACTTGAAACTGCCTGATGGCCTCTTGCTGCTCAAACCACAAAAGTGCAACTTCTACTGTGACTTCATTAAATCTGCATGTTTCATACTGACTGCTTCTGCTTCTGAAAACCGTCACAAGACTACTGTTTGTCACCATAGTGCAACCTCATTTCCAAACAAGTTGGGACATTGTGTAAAATGTAAATAAAAATAGAATGCAATGACTTACAAATCATATAAACCCATATTTAATTGCAAGTATAACAAAGACAACATATCAATGTTGAAACTGTCACTCCCTGCCCAGCATGTGCACTTGACCCTCCATCTCCTCCTAGCATGGACCTAACAAGCCACGCCCATTGCTCATTTGTCTTACCTCTCCTTACCCTCATGTAAATCACTCCCAGCTGCCTCTCATTAGCTCCTTCATTATCCCCCAGTCCAGTCATTGACATCAAACCCTCCTGTTGTCCGTTTCCTTCCCAGTTGTCAATCCTCACATAATTGATCCCTCGCCGTCCAGTTTGTTTCCAGATTCTGTTCATTTAAGTTCAATACATCTCTTTTGTTTCACCTCAATGCATGCCCTCAAATCTTTTATCTCTCAAGTCATGAAAAAATGAGACATGCTATTGTTTTATGATAAATATATGCTCAATTTAAATTGATGCCAGCAACACAGTTAAAAAAACAGTTGAGATAGGGGCATGTTTACCATTGTGTTGCATCACCTCTTCTTTTAACAACACTATAAATGTTTGGGAACTGAGGAGACCAGTTGCCGTGGTTCGGAAAGTGAAATGTTGTCCCATTATCGCCTGATATAGGATTTCAACTGCTTAACAGTTCAGGGTCTCATTTGTTGCATTTTTTGTTTCATGGTTGCCAAATGCTTTAATGGGTGACAGGTCTGGACTGCAGGCAGGCCAGTCTAGCACTCTGACTCTACCACTACGGAGCCATGCTGTTATAATACACGCAGAATGCAGTGTCTTGCTGAAATATCCAAGGCCTTCTCTGAAAAAGACATTGTCTGAATGGTAGCAAATGTTGTTCCAAAACCTGTACATATCGTTCGGCATTAATGGTGCCTTCCCAGATGTGCAAGCTACCCAAGCCATGGGCACTAATGCACCTCCATACCATCACGGATGTTGGCCTTTTAACTGTCCGCTCGTAACAAGCTGGGAGATAGCAAGCTCTCCTCATTAGCCCAGAGGACGTGGTGTCCATGATTTCCGATTTGTTAGACCACAGGACAATTTTCCAATTGCCTCAGTCCATCTTAAAAGAACTCGGGCCCAGAGAAGTCACCAGTGTTTCTGGATCTTTATCAATATTCAAAGTTAGCAGCCCTAGAGCTAAAGACACAACAGCTGAAATAATGGAGATAACTTCATTGGACGATCATCCATTTCCCATAGTGGATGACGAGAGATTTCATAAGCTCGTTCACCACTTATAAGAGGTCAGAAAGTACTGACCTGTGACATGTTTATACTTCATTATTAAGTTTGGTGAGCAGATCAATCTTTCATTTTCCACACAATACAAAATGTTGCAACGTCATCCCGCTAATCTGTGGCAGCAAGCTTGGCAAGCTTCACCGACAGCCGACTGACTGGCCTTGCTCTAATGAGCATTCAGCATGAGATCAAATCTGACAGCCAGTAAGTGCTACAGGAAGTTAGAACGATTCCAAAGGCTCCTGAGTGACAGGGGGCCTAGAAAATTTGGAAAATAACTGGATTGGTCTGGACTGGGGGGGCCAATATGATATGCCTTCATGGGGCCCTAAATCTCTAGCAACGCACCTGGGGGGGGACATCCACAAGGGAAATCATGGCTGGATCCCCCATTTGACGTTCTGACACCTTAAGGCCATCCTCCTTATTGCAATATGGGAAAACATGGCATCTGCTATAAAGCTTCACACACAGAGACCCACCTTTCCTCAAGATTCTGTACCCAATCCCAGGAAGCCTTCATGTGCAACATCTCTCAGATTGCTCTGCTGTGCTGGATGTTTATCTACCTTCCACAAGTGAGTAACCTTTTTAATTAGTTACATTCAACTCCTATAATCATGTCTGTGCTGTTATCACTTTACAAACACAAGACATCTGACAGAGAATGACAAATAAGTATGGTGTAGAGTGTTGGCCTGTCCATGATGCTGGCCTGTCAGTGGTGCTGGCCTGTCAGTGATGCTGGCCTGTCAGTGGTGCTGGACTGTCAGTGGTGCAGGCCTGTCAGTGGTGCTGGACTGTCAGTGATGCTGGACTGTCAGTGGTGCAGGCCTGTCAGTGGTGCTGGCCTGTCAGTGATGCTGGCCTGTCAATGGTGCTGGACTGTCAGTGGTGCAGGCCTGTCAGTGGTGCTGGCCTGTCAGTGATGCTGGACTGTCAGTGATGCAGGCCTGTCAGTGGTGCTGGCCTGTCAGTGATGCTGGCCTGTCAGTGGTGCTGGCCTGTCAGTGGTGCTGGCCTGTCAGTGATGCTGGCCTGTCAGTGGTGCAGAACTGCCTACTGCATTGTCCTGTCTTTAGTCTGATCTGTCAGTGGTACTGAGTATATACTCAGATAGAGTCCATGTTCTAATGTCTTGCAATAAGCTATTTATGTCCAAAGCTCAAACCTAAATTGATACTGAATTTATTACCATCTTAATTATATTGTTAGAAAAGTACATTTTAAAGGGGCCACTTTCAATTCATACAGAACAGAAGTACAGTTTCAGTTAATGAAGTGACCCCCATAGTCCTTCCATTTCTGCAGGCAGTGCTCACAGCCCTGTTCCTCTGACGTTAAGTTAAGCCATGACTGGTCCCTCCTGAAGACGCGTCAGGTCACACGCAGCTTGACACGACTTTATGGATGGCCGGCAGGCATCCAGGCATTTTGTAAATGTCAGGTTGAATGGTGGTGCTCCATGTGCCAGGTGTAAGGAAATGGGCATTTTCTTCATCTTTTCCTCTCAAGCAGACAGCAAAAACACAGACATCTGCTGTGTGTGGTGGCCTGTGGAGCTCTGACAGCACTCCTTGGGATGTCCCGTAGTAGCTGTTTAACAAATAGCTTTATGAAATATGTTAGATTAAAAGGACACGCCTGATTAAATTATTTACGGTATTTACTGCTCTGAGTCCTTTAATTAGAGGCTTCTGTCTGATGAAAGCTAAGCTTTATGAGATAAGCAGTCTCACGGCATAATGGGATTCTGCAGACTGAACATTTTTAATAACACATTTTATAAGATTTTCCTAGTTAGGTCTCAGCTAACTAAAGAGAATTTAAAGGAGAGCAGGTGAGAAGACCTCAGGGAAAAGCATTAATTTACCATGGGAATTGGGGAGCATATAGAGATGTTGGACCAAACAAACATCCACATGCTTCCCAATCGACACAAAGAAGCTCTCACATAATTAGTCATGTGATGGATCAGTCAGGGTCGAGATGAAGTGCTGCAGGTCTCCAGCCCCACAAGCCCCGGCTCATGATGACCTGCAAGTCCTCCTGAAGAAGCGGCTTTAACCCACAGGAGACCTCATTAACTGAGTCAAGGAGGGCACAGCAGAGTGACCACAAGTACCACCACATCACGGAGCCTTCGATATATGTTTGCTAACAAAGGAAATGGTCAGAGGGGTGTGTAGGTGAAAGAAGGCAGATTTTGTGTTCTTAAGGAAGCAGAAGACATAGTACTTTAGCACAAAGGCTTGTGATCTGCAGTGTACCAGCTCAAGTCCCAGGAGATTCTCTGTTGTAGTGTTAAGAAACTCTTAACTTAAGCTGCTCTATGAATAAGCCCAGATACATATATAGGTTGAACGTGCAAGATGCTTCGGCTAACCTAAGAGTGAGAGTGACCTAGAGAGGAGATACTCCAATTCTGTTGCCAATTTAGCCATTTCCAGCACTATGACAGACTTATCAGACATGCCAAGCAGAACGGAGAAAGCAATACATGCTCCGTCCAATCCACATCTCCACCAATCTAACTTCTTTTTGCACATCACATGGTGCCACAGTGCCAGTGTGCAACGATCAACCTGCAGACGGTTAATCCACAAGCTTTGTGCAGTGGTCAACCATAATTCACTGGCAAAGCATATCCACCCTCCCTAGTTATATCCTTTTTAAACTACATTGTCAGGTCACACTTTTCTCCCGAAGAAACTACTCTTGATCTTGGGGGATCCGGTAAAATATGACCCTGATTTCCTGAAGAAAGGCATCTGCTGAGACATGGTGGTTTGTCTCCATGGAGGCTGAGATGTTCCGTTTCTGAAACTTGCTACCAGAGTGATTTGCACGTGAGGAGAGACCGTTGCATGGATGTTGCATTTTTACTCAGTTAGGAAGAGGTGCTGATGTGGTAGAAGTTGTAAAACACCAACCTGCACATTCTGGGTTCTCCTCATTGAAGTTCACAGCAAAATCGTGGGAGACCTGAAGCACACGGAGAAGGAAAATCATAGTAACATACAGGAATACACACACAGACAAGGCTATAAAGTGCATGTCAAACATATCAACAGACCTGCATGCAAACTAAAACAAATGAGTTGTCTTTCTCTTTTCTTTCTCTCTCCTTTAATTATGATAAGAAGAATACAAACAATCCAAATGTCAACCAAAGGCCCCAGAATGGGTGCAGTGTAGAATCCACACCTAACTGCAGACACTAAAGAACGACCAAGCCTGCATCTTGCCAGCTTCCAGCTCATTCATGCACAGGTTCCATCTTCTTTCCACACAGGTTTTCATGCGAACACTTATTTTCTGCAAAGGTTACATAATTCATTCACCTTAAAGTCAGGTGGAATCCGAGCTCCGAAGCCAAACGCTGGGAACATTTTGTCACTGGATGGATATGAAACAATCACATAGAATGAAGGTATTATCAGAACTGACAGAGATTATTTTGGTAAGTCAGATATGAGTGTCTTAACTGCTACGCCACCTGCTGCACGGTTATTACAGAACTGCAAACTTTGTAGACACCTTGGAATTTACAAATCCAACAAGGGACAAATATAATTGATTTTTTTGTTAATATTTTGTTAATATTTGAGGCGGTCGCCTACTGTTGAATATTGGCTTAACCTACCCCAGGAAAGGATGCCGCCGCCATTTTGGACAGACAAGTGACTCAGCTACTTACAGATGCAGCTGGAATCTAGCCCTGCAATAGCAGCAGGCTGATCTGCCCCATTTACGGACGTCACAGAGCCAGCAGACAGTACAGTGTCTTATCACTGAGCACCTGTGTTGCTGTGTGATTAGCTAACATTCACCTGTCATAATCCTGGCAAATTTCCCCCACAGCAACGAGAGCCTTGAGGTACTCGTTGGGCTGGTATGGATGGATGTAGTGCAGGGAGCAGCTATTCCGGGGGTCTCCGTTGGAAGCTGTGAAGTCGATCGCTACCTGGAGGGGCGAGTGGCAATCAGAGAGGGAGCCACCGTGCTCTAGTCAAGGAAGCTTTATGCTTCCCACGCTCAGGAAGGCATTAATCAAACCACTTGTGATGGTAATAAAGCGTGCCCCCATTTACAAAGCATGCTAAGAGGTCTTGCCGGTGCCTCCGTAAAACAAAAGAAAATGGACATTGTGAATGAAGCGGCAGCTGAACTCTGGATTTATGGAGGCCGTAATATCTCCCAAAGGCTGGCGAATTTGCTGATAATGAATTCTGTTAATGTAACTTTAATGTTTGTCATAATGTCTAGAGCAGGCTAGGTGGCTCCTGTACAGCTAGGATAACGGCCCATTTAAACTCTGCGGCTCTAATCAGCAGATGCAGAACCGCATGGCACACATACCCCTTCATGCTGCTGGTGCAAGGGGTCTCATCTCATAAACCTGTGCTGGGCGCCACTAGGAGACTGACACAGCTGTTCACTTCACTGTGACAAGCGTCATTTTCTCAGCTGCGTGACATCAGCAGACCATCTGCTAATGACTAAGCCTGGGGTCTTAAAGGTATCTGGCAATGTGGGCAACAAGTATGAGAGTCTGACCCATGCACACGTACTTCCAAAGCACTGTGTTGTCTATCTGTAATATTAATGAATGTTCTACAAAACACATGAAGTAATTCCAAAGGCTATACTTATACAATGGACTCATACAGAAGCAACATTAAATGTGTTTACCTTGTTTATTTATTTGCTTGCAAATTAAGGTGAAGTAGAAGAGATCCTTCCTCACACAGAATTTGAAAGCTTCCTGTCATATCTGTCCTCTTTGCAGCATGGGAACACTTAATCAAAACCCATATCGGAAGAGATACTCACTGTAAACTGAATCTGGCAGCCGCCCATGATGTAGTCCAGGAAGGAGTGCATCTTAATGATCTGTGTAAGAAAACATCTGCATTAGAGTGCCACCTTCGGGGGTCTCTTTGAGTGAGTACCCCGACCTGAACGAGGGCTCCGACCTGAGTGAGTACCCCGACCTGAACGAGGGCTCCGACCTGAGTGAGTACCCCGACCTGAACGAGGGCTCCGACCTGA